CAAGCAGAATACACAGGCCATTAAAAAATCTCAGGGCCAAGCAGGATTTGATGGTACATGCCATTAATCCTAGCACTAAGGAGGTAGAGGCAGGCAGATCTCTGTGAGATTGAGGCCAGACTGGTCTACATAGTGAGTTCCAGGCCAGCAAGGGCTACAGGGAGACCATGTCTCAAAAAAAAAAAAAAAAATCAGGGCCAGGGCTGGAGAGATAGCTCAGCAGTAAAGAGCACTTGCTGCTCTTACAAAGGACCTAGGTTCAGTTCCCAGCATCTACATGATGGCTAACAACTGTCCCTAACTCAGTTCCAGGAGATCTGACACCTTCTTTTGGCCTCCACAGACATTGCATGCATGGGTGCACTTATATATGTACAGGTAAAAAATACACTTAAAATAAAAATAAATCTTTTTTTTTTTTTTTTATCTCAGGGCCAACCGATTGGCCATTTTAGCCTGAATTGTTGGTATTCAACTATCAGTAGAGGCTTCCCTCCCACTCTTACCTCAGAGCAGACTTGTGTTTTTTGGTAGGGCCAGCAAGGCCCCAGGACATAATAACCTTTTTACCAAGATACACATTTCTGCTTGGCTTCTACTACCAAAAAACAAAAAGTTTATGGGAAACTTGGTAGGTGTTTCGGCATCATCACTACAGCTGTTTGACTGTGAGTGAATTACTTCAGCTTTATGGGCCTGTTTTCCTCTTATGCAAAATGGAGTTGGTGATGGTTTAGAGTTATCAGAGAAATTTGAATCTCTGTTATACTGCTGAATGCTTGAAGTTTAGCTAAAGGTGTCTCAGGACATGAGCTGCTGTCTTGTGTTTCACTCCTGTCTTTGCCTTAGTATGTGCAAAAATGGGACTTTGGATCCTGATCTGTCCCAAGATTTCTTATAAAATTAAGCCATTTCTTCTCTTTGACCCTTGGGACTGATAGATGACTTGAACTCACAGTTGTGCTTCTGTGTCCAAGTAGCTGCCCCTCCCCTCCACCCCAACTCTAAGCTTCTCAGCCCTACAGGTCTATCAGTGATAAGGTAGGCTCAAAGGGGGCTGCCTAGGGAAAGTAGCCCCAGTCAAAGGGAGGCTGTTTATCCTGTCTGTTGTGGCCTAGGCAGAACATGGAACAAGTAGGGAATATCGTGGTCACCTTGAAAATGTACCTTATCAACTCCATTCTTTAGGACTGTCCCCAGAAGAGACACAGCTAGTCCTACAGTTCCTTGTAAACAGTTTTCCAGACTCATTTAACTTGTGTATAATCCTCTGAGGAAGGGTTTGTTGCCATCTCTGTTTTACAGATCTTAAAATAGAGGCTTCAAAGTGGTAGAATGTTTGGGCATAGAATATTAGTATACATTTAAATTTTTGTCCACTGTATAGAGTTAAGTAAGGCCTGTGAAGAGCTTTGTCTTATAAGGAAAACACAATTTTCATAGGCCAAATTATTGTAATACAGTCCTAGGATGATGTGGTTGGGTAGTGTGGAGGAAGCCTGGTTGGGACAAGGGGCTTAGGGAAAGCTTACTAGGAGAGAGATGTCCTAAGTCACTTTAAGATATAGGACTAAGGCGTGACAGAGCTAGGTCCTGTCACTTTGGGTGGTTATGGATGGCAGGGAGCAGGCTGCTGGACAGCACAAGGTAGTTCCTCCTCTCATTTCCCTGTGAAAATAACAGCAAGAGGCCCTAGAACTTCTTGTCAAGGGTAGGGCTGGACCCAGGGCATATTATGTTTCAAGCTGGCAGACTCTTGTAAAAGTAGATTTCTTAACAACAAATGACGCTCTTGTGGTCTGTGCTGGGCTCTTTCTGCTGAAGTTCAGCTAGGAGAGCTTCTGTTAACCAGAACTTTTTGGATTCCTCTCCCGGGGGATTCACATACTCTGAGAAACAGTCAGTGGGCTACCAGAAAGTTCTAGAATGCCAGTATTAATGAGGCCACAAAGTAGGGTTAGTATGTCAAGGTCATTTCTGTGGTTCTGGGCTTAGGGAAGGACCCTGTCGTGATTTGTTCTACAGCTCTTTGGAGGATGGGGTCAGGGAACATGGGTCAGTCAAGCTTTGACAAACATCTGGATTTCCTCCAGAGCTACATTAAGAGAAGTGTTCTGTTCCTTGTTGGAAATGAGAAGTCAGGGCCCTTGGTCATGCTTATAGCCAAATCAAACAGTTGATAATACTTGTTAACAGCCAGGAGCATTGCATGTAGCTGGCACTGCAGATTCAGGCCTTTGAAATGTGCCTTTGGACTTAGCACTCTTGGGGAAGATCTGTGTGTAGTATGTAGAACTGTCTAGCAACCTGGTGTCTACTCACTTAATGGGGAATGATTACATGGCTCACACCTGTAGTCTCAGCATTCAAGAGGCTAAGACAGGAGGATCACCATATGTTTTTGAGACTAGTCTGGGCTACATAGAGTTACAGATCCACTTGGGTTACAGAGTGAGAGACCTTGTCTCAAAAATAAAAGGGGACATGGGGTGTGGTGGTGCATGCCTTTAATACCAGCACTTGGGAGGCAGAGGCAGATGGATCTCTGTGAGTTCAAGGCCAGCCTGGTCTATATAGTTCCAGGCCAGCTAGGGCTACAGGGAAACCGTCTCAAAAAGACAAAAAAGCAAAATTAAATAAATAGAAAGGGGGGAAAAAAATTGAATGAGACTAGAGTTAGCTCCTAGCCTGGGAATAGGGGTCAGAGATGGTATTGCCTTGATAGGAGCCAAACCCAAGGCTCTGACCTGCTGCAGATGGTCCTAGGCCCTTCAGCTGTGTCAGATGCTTAGCAGATGGTAGTAGCATACCAGGCACCCTGAGTTATCCACCTTCATTTTCAACCCTCCAGATAAGCTTCTAACTGCTCCTTGCCATGGTTGTCAGCCATGTAAATGTTCCAGCTCTGATTCTGCCTTGAAGGAAGGAGATGAGGTCTTCCTTCTTTTTTTTTTTTTTTTAAATAAACAAGGTCTCCTTGTGGCCTTAGCTGGACTAGAACTGGCTATGTAGACTGGGCTGGCCTCAGTTTCATGGAGATCTGCCTGCTTTTGCCTCTCATAGCTAACAAAGTCCTACTTTGAACCAAATCCTCCCTAACTCCTCCTGTGTGGCACTTCTCACTGAGGGCTGACAGATAGTAATAGAGGTTATTTGAGAGTGGGTTTTTTGGTCGACACTAGTTAAAGTCAGTGGGTTCTTTTGCTGTAGTAATTCTCAGATCTTTTACATATACTAATGATGCTTCTTGAAACAACTGATAATTTCTAAGTTGGTTTGATTTAGGGTCATTTGTCCATAATCTGTTGTGGGGATGATGTTCATAAAGAAAGCTCTAGAGAACTGTGATCTAGGAGCAGCTGGGGGGGGGTAGGGAGGTGAGGTGTTATTCTTCAAATCAGAGGTACTTCTCTCTAAAGACTGAGCCTTTTTTAAACAGCTTGGCTTTGTTTTTTCTTGCTTTGCTTTTTATTTCAGCCTTGTATTTTTTGTTGGCTCTTGCACCCAGCATTGTTCTTGGGCCACCCTGGCACTTCAAAAAGTCATTCCCAGATCTGTCTTGTTTCTTATAGTTAAGCATGTATCTGTACAGCTGTCCTTTAGAAGGAGCAGCTATGAGAGAAAAGTGCATGATCCCTGGAATCGATTCCTAAGTGGGAAAGTGGAGTAGAAAAGAGAAAGCTTATGCTTGGGCAGGTGTCTAACTATATTGATCTCTACAGCTCGGTGAAGGAACCTGGGGTTGAGTCCGGGATATGGTATCTCTTGGGGTTGCCCATTGAGAACATGTGAGCAGCTCAGTAATCGGAATTGTTTTCCAGTGCTTCAAATCAAGATGTTGCCAGCTGAGAAGAGGACAGTCATCTACCCACATTCATTGGCCTTTGAACAGTTTTCAACTCATGTAACTGTTGAAAATAAGTGGAAATTTCAATGTGATGAATGAAAATACTTAAAATATCCCAAACACAGCTGTCTTCAAAATTTTGGATCCTTTCAGAGGAGGCTTTTGAAACCTTTTTTTCCAAGTAGAAAAAGTCTGTGTTGGGACTTGGCCATCCTAGTTCTCTCTGTGACTCAGTGTTGTCAGCGACTGCTTTGGCTTCCTCTACATGCTAAAAGGGGAAAGGCAGGAGGAAAGAGCTCAGTTTTTTTTGTTGGTTTTTTTTTTTTTGTTGGTTTTATTGTTGTTGTTGGGGGTTTTTTTGTTTTATTTTGTTTTTATTCTTGGAGACAGGGTCTCCCTGTAGCTCCAGCTGGCCTGGAACTCACTATGTAAACTAGGCTGGCCTTGAACTCAAAGAGATCCACCTGCCTCTGCCTCCTGAGTGCTGGGAACCTGGCTAGTTCTTTGTCTTTTCAACAGAACTCCAATTGCCTCTAAAGGTGTAGCCTTTTGGGAGCTCTTTTATTTTTTAGTGCTGGAGATTGAACGTAAGACCTCACATGTACCAGGCAAGTGCTCTGCCTCAGAGCTACACCCCAGTCCTAAGGGTTCCTAACAAGAAGGGTTCTGGCCTGTGCCAGGAAAGTGTTGCTTCAGCCTTTGCCTTAAGGGACCAGTGGATCTTCTATGCCTCATGCCAGGTTTTTAATCAGATGATTTCTGGGTGGAAGCTTCCTAGAGCTTAAATGTGGTATCTCCCTTCCATGTAGATCCTTGAAACTTTTCAAGTAAAAGCAGAGGGCAGCCATAAGATGTGGGTCCAGGGCCTAGAGAGATGGTATTGACTGCTCTTGCAGAGGACTTGTGTTCTGTTCCCAGCACTCTTATGGCAGCTAACAACCGTCCATAACTCCAGTTCTATGGGAACCAACCCCTCTTCTGACCTCTGCAGGCATTGCATGACACAGGTGTACTCACACACGGAGGCAATACACTCATACACTAAAAATAAATAATAAATATTTCTTTTAAAAGACTTGGTTGGTAGGTCGGTCCCCCCAGGAACTTTGGTGTCTGTCCACACCTTCTGGTGACTTGTTCTGTTTCTTTTTAGTGGGTATGCTGCTGATGAAATCACTCACTGCATAAGGCCTCAGGACATCAAGGAGCGTCGGGCGGTCATCATTCTCAGGAAGTAAGTGCCCTTGTGTCTGGCATCCTCTGCCCTACCTACAAGCTTGTCTAGATCCTCTTAGAAGGCACACCTCTGTACCCCTGGCATGTAACTATGAAATCTAGAAGAGCAGAAAGTTCTCTTATTTTAAGAAGTTCAGTGTTGAGCAAAGACACATGCTCCAGATACTCATGAGCAGAGGGCCTATAGCCCCCAACTCACTATGGATCTTACTATGTAGACCAGGCTAGCCCTGAACTCACAGAGATCTGCCTGCCTCCTGAGTGCTGGGATTAAAGGTGTGCCACCATGCCCAGCTTTTTTTTTTTTTAATTAAGATTTAATTTTTTTTTTAATTTAAAATTTTTATTTATTACTTTTATGTGTATGAGTATATTGCCTGCATGTATGTGAGTGCACCTGTGTCATGCAGTGCTGCAGAGGTCAGAAGAGGGCTTTTTAACTCTTTATATGTGGTATTTGTGTATGGGAATGTGCAGGTGTGAATGCAGTGCCTGTGGAGTCCAGAAGAGGGCATCAGATCTCCTGGAAGTAGAGTTACATGGGCATTTTTAAGCCACCAAACTTGGGAATTGAACTCAGGACCTCTGTAAGAACAGTGTATGCTCTTAATCACTGAGCCGACTCTCCAGCCTCTATGGGCATAATCTTGAAACTAAATTTGGGGAGCATTTTCCCCCCACAAGCCTCATCTCCACCTTTTCTTTACCCCTTTGATCTGACTTGTGTACTTTTGGTGATTATTTTTAGACTATACCTTAGCAACCTGCTTTAAAAATGCCTAGGCTTACCAGGAGTGGTGGTGCACACCTGTAGTCCCAGCACTTGGGAGGCAGAGGCAGGCGGATCTCTGTGAGTTCAAGGACAGCTGGGGCTACAGGGAGACCCTGTCTCAAAAAGACAAAAAAAATGCCTAGGCTTTTACTTCTTGGGGGAATAAGGAAGCGAGGAGAGGAGACAAGAGTGAGAAATTGAGGTACAGCAGTCAGTGGTTCATAGCTGTGGCCATCTCCCCTCTGGGGAGAGGGTTTGGGGATGTACTGACTAACAGTAACCTGCCTTCTCTTGACTGGGTGTGGTGGCTGGCTCATACCTGCAGTGTCAGCATTTGGGAGGCCAAGGTGGGAGAATTGAGACTTTGGGGCAAACCTGGGTCACACAAGAAGCCTTTCCTAGAATAAAAAAGAAAGGGCAGGGTGGAGGAAAAAGAAGGAAGGAGTAAAAAAATGGAGAGCGATAAAACTAGCTGAGTGTGGTAGGGCACTTCTGAAATCTTAACACTTAGGAGGTGGAGGCAGGAGAGGAATTCAAGACCAGCCTGGGCTACATAAGCCCCTATCTCAAAGGAAAAAGAAAGTTAGTGAGCAAAGCAAGTCCAGTGTGCAGACTTAGGTTATGCTTGATTAGGATGTATAATATTAAGCCTTTTTAAAATTCTTTAAAATTTAAATATTTTTTAAATAGTTTAAGATTTATAGAACATTGTGAGAGTAGTCGAGTTCCCATGTACCTTGTATTTTATTTCCCCTATTGTTGATCATTTAAGTTAGTATAGTTCGTTTGTTAGAATCAAGAGGCTGAGGCTGAGGATTGTAAGTTTAGAACTTGTCTAGGCTACAAGAGAGTTCAAGGACAACCTGGGCAAATTAGTGGGACCCTGTCTCAAACTAAAAAATAAAAAGAATGCTGGACTGGGGATATATAGCTCAGTGGTACAGTGTTTATCTGGCAATCTTAGGACCCTGGGTTAAATCCCCAGTACAGGCATGGGAGTCTGAGGCAAAAGAGTTGCTTAAGCCCAGGAGTTGGAAACCAGCCTGGCAACATAGCAAGGTCCTATGTCTAAAGACTATAACAAAATGAAAGAAATCAGTAGTGGGTTCGAATGTGGCCCAGAGGTAGAGCACTTGTTTAGCATGCCTGAGTCCTTGGAATGTACCTGTAGTCCAAAGTTTTCAGATTTACTTCTTCATTTTCCTGTTGCAGTGATAAAATACAAATATAACAAGGAAGATTTATTTTGGCTCACAGTTCCAGGATAGAGACCATCATGACATGGAAATCTTAGTGGCAGGATCTTGCAGCATCTGATCACATTCCATCCATAATGAACAAACAGAGAACAATGAATGCTTGTACTCAGTTTATTTTCAGCCTTTTTATACAGCCCAGGATCTTGGCCTAGGGAATGGTACCACCTACAGTGAATGGGTAGATCTTCCCACCTCAACTTATTCAAAGTAGTTCCCCATAGATGTGCCCAGAGGCTCATCTCCCAGGTGATTCTTACCAAGTTTATGATTGAAATTAACCATCACACTTAAGAGTTGCTTAATTTTTGTCCTAGTGTCCTTTTTCTCTTACATTTAATTGTCGTGTCATCTTACTCCTCTTAGCAATGAGTTTCTCAGACTTGATTGGTTATAGACTATCACTTAGTGGGATTTGCCTGATTTTTCTTTTAGTTGGACTAGGCTTATTTTTGTGAATAGACCAGAGAAGTAAAGTCCTTTTTTTTTTTTTTTTTTTTTCCCCCAGGGGTGGGGTTCTTTTTGAGACAGGGTCTCCCTGTAGCCCCAGCTGTCCTGGAACTCACTATGTAGACCAGGCTGGCCTTGAGCTCACAGAGATCTGCCTGCCTCTGCCTCCCTAGTGCTGGGATTAAAGGCATGCGCCATCATGCCCTGCTACAGTACTCTTTACCATATGCCAAAGGTATGCGCTGAACACATTGACAAGTGAACATCTGACTGATGGAGTGCTTGTCAGCCAACCTAAGGGAATCCAAGGATTGACACAGATGTCTCTCTTGCCTGCAGAATGATACCCTAAGTATCCAGCCTAGTCTTCTTAAGATTCTTCCCTTCATTTTATTCTACCTTAAAGTACTGTAGCCCCTAAGGCTGGAGAAACAGCTCATCAGTTAAGAGCACTGGCTGGGTTCAATTCTCAGCACCCACATGGTGGCTTATATTTTTCTGTAACTCCAGTTCTAGGGGATCTGATGACCTCTTCTGATCTCTGTGGGCATTGCATGACACAGGTGCACTTACATAAATGCAGGCAATACAGTCATAAAAATAATAAATTTTTTAAGTAGTGTAGGGCTGGAGAGATGGCTCAGCAGTTAAGAACAGTGGTTGTTCTTGTAAAAGACTCAGGTTCGAATCCCAGCACCTACATGGGCGCTAACAGCTGTCCATAACTCCAGTTTCAGGGGATCCAATGGCCTCTTCTGTCCTCCTTGGGCTTTGCACAACATGGGTGCACCTACCTACATGCAGGTAGTACTTTCATACACATAAAGTAAAAGCAATTTAAAAAAAAATTTTTTTTAATGCCTTTAAAAAAAAAAAATACTGTAGCCCCCAGTGCAGTTGATGAATTTGTATCCTGGTTCTGTAGCAGTATGGCCTCTGTTGGGAACACCTTTCCATCTAACATGTTTATTTTCTGATCCACATCATCACTTCTCAGATTTCCAACATATATACACACTGACCAACCTAACTGTCCTTCAAGGCCCAGGTATTGACCATTTTGATATGCAGGACTTTCACATTCCTGTGCCTGTGACCCTTCAGCATGCACTCCTCTTTAGGTTGTCCCACTCCATGTGCTTGACCATTGTGAATTTCCAAGTTCATATTCAAGGGCAATGGAGAGGGGGGATGTGGTGCATAATGAGACCCTGCCAAGAGAAAAAATAAACAAAAACCCAGAGATCTTTTAGAACTTTTCTTATAAAAAGATAAACTGAGGGGAGCCAGCCGTGGTGGTACATGCCTTTAATCCCAGCACTTGGGAGGCAGAAGCAGGTGGATCTCTGTGAGTTCAAGGCCAGCCTGGTCTACATAGTGAGTTCCAGGACAGCTAGGGCTACAAGGAGACCCTGTCTCAAAAAGACCAGAAAAAAAAAAAAAAAAGACAGACAAAAAAGATAAACTGGGTCAGTTTGAAAAGCACATCCTGACTTGGGCATCCAGAGACTACCCAGAGGACAGCAGTGGCCTAGGAGTACCTGCCTGATTTGGTGTCTTTTGGTAAGGCAAGTTCCAGTGAGTAAGAGTCTGGACATAGAACCTGACCCATTACAGACAGAAGGGTTAGAACCAGTCTTCTCTTAAATTCAGATAGCCATGGCATAGCTTCCCAAGAGATGGTTTGGTAGTTCTGACACCAGCTCAGATCAGTCAGAGCTGGCAAGATCTTTCTAAAGATCTCAAGAAGGAGATGGATAGCTGCCGTGGACTTTCTGGCTGAATAGAATAAGGCTCCTGTGAAATGGGCTGTTTTGTCTGGAAGTGACCCTTTGAGAGGTTGCCTGGAAGTGGAATCTTCAAGCCAGATTAATATTTGGGGTCACAGTAAGTGGTTGAGTGAGGCTATGGACCTAGGTCTCCTGGTGTTGGTTCTTGTGGTGGTTTGCACAGTGGAGCACTCCAGGTGTCACCCTTTCCACCTCCCTGGCCATGTATCATTTAAGAAACAAGCTCAGGCCGGGCTTGGTGGTGCACACCTTTAAGGGACATTCAGGAAGCAGAGGCTTATCACAACTGCTTATAACTCCAACTCCAGGGCATCTGACACCTTTTCATCTCTGCAGGTACCCACACATAACAAGTCAAATATTTTTATTTTTTAAAGATTTTTTTTTAAATATGTATATGTGTTTGTGTTTTGTTAGTTTGTGCATTGAGTACAGTGCCCTTGAAGGCCAGGAGATGGCATTAGATCCCTGGAGCTGGAGTTATAAGCAGTTGTGAACCACCATGTGAGTGATAGGAACCAAACTCAGCCCTTCTGCAAGAGCTGCAAGCACTTTTAAACCCCTGAGCTATCTCTCCAGCCCCCAAGTTAAATTTATAGGGGCTGGAGAGATGTTCAGTGGTTAAAAGCATTGTCTGATCCTACAAATGACCCAGGTTTGGTTCCCAGCACCCACATGGTGGCTAACAACTGTCCATAAATCCAATTCCAGGGGAATCTGATGCCCTGTT